TTGGTTTTTGTGTATGGAGTGAGGTGTGGGTCTTGCTTGAGTCTTTTGCAGATATTTTTCCAATTTTGCCAACACCATTTGTTAAAAAGGCTGTCATTCCCCCACTTCACTGATTTCATCTCCTTGTCAAAGATCAGTTGACCATAGATAGATGGGTTGATGTCTGGATTCTTAATTCGATTCCATTGATCTATGTGTCTGTCATTGTACCAGTACCATGCTGTCTCACAGGACCCACTCACTGTTACAGCTTAGATCTAAACCAGACACTAACTCTTAAGAGACATATCTGATTACCCTAGCTATGCCAACAGTTCCTTCTTCTAACAATATTCTAGGCATTTGCTAAAGTCTAGCATGTGAGTCTTAGAGAATTTGTTGATATTCTTAGTAAAATCAGACATTCTTCCAGTGTTGTGAGTGCATGGAAAATATCCATACTGGGAGGTGAGAGAGTTCATAGGCAGGCCTTGTCCCCAGTATTTACCTTCCCCTTGATGCTAACTCCTTATCCAACAACTGACACTACATGGCAAGAAACTTCTTCTAAGAAGACTCTTCTAAGAGCTCAGTCTTCCGAGATTGACAGTAATAAGAATGACAAGAATGAGGAGAAGAAGAGGAAGAATAGCTGGCCTTTACTGAGTGCTTGCTGTATACAAGACACTGACTTAAGCCCTTTATACATATCATCTTATTTAAACCTCACCGCAGCCTTTTATCAGATTGTTGTTGTTGTTGTTGTTGTTGTTATCCACATGTTGCAGATAAGAAAAACTAAGCCTTCAGAAGGTCAGGTACATCATTCACAGTCACACGGATAGCCAGTGCTGGAGCTAGGACTGTGCCCCTGGTGGTCCGTCTCTAGCACCTTGCTGATCTGCAGAGTAGAGAGTGAGGACTATGTGATTGAATCCTGGAGCCCAGACTCTTCCTGGGTGATCCTCCCTCAGGCACCCTACTGCTCTCGAGAAAGGAGGACCGATCCTGAGAGGAGCTCAGAGAACACAGTGAGGGGAAGTGGGAGACATCTTCCATATTCTTCTGGCAGCAAATCTGCCTAGTTTATTGGCATCTTCCAATGCTCTATTTTCTTCTCCTTATTGAAGATATCTAGTTAAATATGCCCACTCATAACTGTCACAGTCACTTCAGGACATTGATATTTTTATAATTGCATTTTTTTAAATCACTCATCTATATATAGTGCAGTACCAGCAAGTGCTATGGATTAAAAGTTGGAAACACTTAACACTCAATTTCGTTTTATGGGAATTTGTTGTGGTTAGTGGTGGTCCTTCAGAATCCTCGATTAGTCTGGTGGGTTTACCATGTAGGAAGTTAAGGTTCTCAGCAGCCAGCTGGTTGATCAGGGTTCTAGTGGGTGCACAGCAGAAAACACTGCCCTGCCTTGTCTCTGGAAGGGGTCTGAAGCGAGGCTCACCCACTACATTCCATCCAGCATTAGCAGAATATGTGGCTGAATTTTGTGAAGGTGTATGGATTTCATATAAAAAATTAAGTTCTTCTAATAAAAGGGAGATATTGTTGTTGTGTATCATAAAGTAAAAAATGACCCATAGCTGATCCTCTGGTAGGTTTTGAAGAGGCAATTAATCGCCTGGGAAGAAACTGCCCATCCCTCTCCCACAGAGCAGCTGGTGGCCTCGAACCCTGTACCTTCAGGATTGCAGTGCAACTTCTTGCCACTAGGCTACCAAAGCTCCCTAGTTCCTATTTAGCCATCATGCATTCATCCCCCAAACCTGCCTACTGTTTTCCAATTTGTACCATGCTGAGCGTAAGAGTTTAAGCCCTTCAGTCAGATGGATTGACACAGTGATTGCAGCAATGGGCCCAAGTATGTCAGAGATTGTGAGGTTGGCACAGGATAGACAGGGTTCAGATCTGTTGTTCATAGTGTCACTGAGTTGTACTCAACTTGATGGTATGTAACAACAACCACCAGCACAGAGTAGGGTGGTGAACAAACAGCCACGTAGCCCTTGTGTTTGTCTTCAAAAGCACATCTTCCCAACTGACGTACTATTGATATTTTGAGGTTAGATAATTTTTAGCTACTGAGAAGGTCCGGTGGAGCAATGGTTAACCACTTGGCTGTTCACTGAAAAGTTGCTGGTTCAAACCTACCAGCTACTTTGCAAAAGAAAGATATGGCAGTCTGCTTTTGTAAGCATTGCAGCCTTGGAGGCGCTGTGGGACAATTCTACTCTGTTTTATATGGTTTCTGGGAGTCCAATCCAACTCAAGAGCCATGGGTTGGGTTTGGTCTAGAAGTCCTGGTGGCACAACAGGTAAGCACTCAGCTGTTAACCAAAAGGTTGGCAGTTCAGTCCTGATCAGTGACTTTGCAGGAGAAAGACCTGACAATTTGTATCCTTCAAGATTACAGCCAAGAACATCCTGTGGGGCAGTCCCACTCCGCCCCACAGGGTCGCTGTGAGTTAGAATTGACTCAGTGACACCCAACAATTCCTAACTTTGAAGATACTGTGCAACATGGGATGTGCAGCAACATCCCTGGCCTCTACCCGCCAGATGTCAGCAGTACGTCTCCACATCGACTTGTGACGACCAAAATTATCTCCATTTAAACTATAGTCCCGAATGGCTTTTGGGTAAGAGACAAAATCTGCCCTGACTGAGAACCGCTGGTCTATAGAGGAGAAGCAGTGATCAAAAGATGAGGCATGCGACTCATCATTTCAAACAGAGAGCTTTACTCTGAAGGGTAAGAACACAGACCTAAGAATGCAATCGGCAAAGGAATCAGATTCAGACTAGATCATCAGAGAACCAGAATGAAAATCAGTTCTCAAGAGTTATTACTCCACAGGACACAGTGTTTAAATGACTGATTATGTAGGAACTCATGTTGTTGTTGTTAAGTGCTGTCGAGTCGCAGGTGTCTTATAGTGACCCTATGAAGGAGAGTCCTCGACGCTTGGGTGCCTTTCATCCTCTCTCCAGGCTCATAGGGTTTCCAGAGGCAAGCTATTACGGAAGTGGATGCCACTCCTCCTTCCAAGCTTGTTTTAATCGGGGAGCTCCACCCCCCCTCTGTCAGCATTGGGTAACCAGCCATTAACGCCTTTGACACATCAGTGTCACAGTGTTCAGCCTCACAGTAACCACAAGTGACCGCTGTACGGCAACTTGTACACCAGGGCTACACGACCTAGAGGAATGTCTGAACAAAAACAAGGAAAGACAGGCCTGGGGGCCGTGAATTAAGTCACCCACCTTTGGCTTGGTAGCATTGCTTTCTGTCCACTGGGCCAGCTGATCTCTCTCTCTCTGTTGATGTTATTGTTGTTAAGTGCCATCAAGTCGCAGGCGACTCATAGTGACCCTAAGAATGAGAGTCCCTTTCTTCCTCTCTCCAGGTTCATAGGAACTCATGATACATACCAAAAAGTGCTTCCTTTTTATTTCAGCCTCAAAACATCATTCCTAACTCAGGGCCCATGCTGACCATTGAGAAGCCAGGGAAAATGGATGTCGTTGAAGCTCTGGATATCAGTGAAAAGATGGTATGTAAATACGGCGTCCAGGCCCTTCTGCCCAGAGCCAGGTCCCCTGCAGTCGAGTTTAACCACGGGGTAGTTTAACTAAACCTTACAAACCTATTCAGTTCTTATAATAGCTCTGCAAGACTCTCCCAGCATGGGCCAGGAATTGCATAACCAAATTCCTTGAAAACTTGGGTAGTCAGAATAAATGTTTATATCTGTTGTCATTCTTTTACTGGGTTCTCAAAAAAGGCACAGTATAAGTGGCTTTGGGGAAAATTAGAGTCATTAAAGCCCCAGTTGCACTCACTCCCCAAGCGTCTGTTTGCTCTCTGCACGTGCAGAACTAGAATTAGACATTTACCTCCTTTGCGCGGCCCCCAGCCGTCCTGGACCGTACTTCTACCTCGTATTTACACGCTTGCCTCATAGTACATGGACATGACTAAAACGCTCGGGACGCTGATGAACATCAAGAATATGTCAGGCCACGTGTCCATGAAATACCTGTCCCCGAAAGAGATGGAGAGAGTCAACCAGCTGCGGCAAAGAGACCTTAATCAGGTGTTTGATAAGATTACCCAACTCAAGAGCCGGCTGGAGAGAAAAGAGGAGCTTCTTCGAGGCTATGAGAAAGACATCGAACAGCTCAGGTACACCTGCCTTGCCCTGAGAAAAGCCCAGTCTCCCTTCCCATGGCTGACCCTCCGGGCTGTGACACAACAAGAAGGACTAGGGTGGCGTAACTAAAACACTGGAGCAGGAGCATGGTGAGGACCAAGTAGATGCGCATGAGAAACTGGCCATCATTGATCACCACTCTGCTTTCCAGCAAATTCAGCCCTGTACACATCCCCGCTTCTGTTTTACCATCTGTCCTTTCGATAGTTCCCTCATTTGGTTATAGAACTTGTAGCTGTGTGGTCAGTGCACGGGAAGGATGGTCAGACCACTAACCGAAGGATGGCGCCTCTTTGGCAGGTCAAGTCCACCAGCAGCTCTGCTGGGCAGTCTCCTCCCATGCAATTTGCAGCCTTAGAAACCCAGTGGAAGGTGGTGGTTGCTATTGTTGTGTGCTGTCAAAGCAGAACCAGCCCTCCAGTGGGTTTTCAGAGGCAGTTTAATGACACAAGAGGAAATTGTCCACATTTCTCCTAGAGAACAGCTGGTGAATTTGAACTGGATGCCTTGGGGTTGCAGGGCAGCTCCTTACCATTAGACCACCGCCTTGGCGTTCATGGGTTTGAGCTTGTCATGTATTCAACATGGTCCACACTTCCCTCTCTGGGAAGATATAAGAGAAAGGTTTCAGATCCCTAACTATCTTCACATTATACTTACCCACTAGTAAGCTGTCCATTCTGCCCTGCTCCTAGTGAAATCTTTAAGTTAGGGGTGTGTGTGTGTGTGTAAGTCTTTTGCGGGTCTCCTGAGTTTGGGATGTTGGTGAATGACAAAGATGGGGATAAAAGACTGTGTCTTTCCCATATGTCCAGGCAGAGCAAAGTGTCCATGCAGATGTACCAGTCACAGGTGGCCAAGCTGGAGGATGAAATCTACAAGGGGGCAGAAGAAAAGGCCCTGCTGAAGGAGGCCCTGGAGCGTATGGAGCAGCAGTTGTCCCAGCAGAAGAGGCTCAACAGGGCTATGAGGCGGCAGAAGGTGAGCAGCTGCCTCTGGGGTCCCCTCAGCAGCAGTCAAGTGTGGCCAAGGAGGGCATAGAGTTAGACAGGCCTAGGTTTACACCCTGCTTCTGCCCCAGAACAGTCCACAGGAAGGTGAGCTGCTGACTTAAAGGCTACGCCTCTCTGGTTTGGATCCACCAGTGTCTCCAAAGGAGAAAAGATGGGCAATCTCATCTCATCCCAGGTGATTTACAGCCTCCAAAAACCCACTGGAGGGTCTGCTGTGAGTCAGTTTTGACTTGACAATGAGTCACACTTTCTTTGTGACCTTAGGCAGGTTTCTTACCTTCTCTGACGCTTACAAGTCTTCATCTGTTAGTAGTGTTGTGATTATGATTATTATTGTAATGGTGGCTATTTGCAAAACCATCCTGGAATAGGAGGTGTCTGACCTGTAAGGGGGGGGGGGAAGGATCATTATCAGTGTGGCTTCATGGTAAAGAGTTGAACTGTCAACCCAAAGGCACATGGTTCAAATCTACCAACTGCTCCGCAGGAGAAAGCTGAGCAGTATCTTCCCTTGCCATTTACTGCCTCTGAATACCCACTGGAGGGTCAGCTAGGGGTCAGTTCTGACTCTAACAACACCATCAGCAACAACAGCGCGAGGCTGATTCCTGTTAAGTGGAGGTCAGACATGCCTCATCGCTCCAGCCTGTGTACTAGTTCTGACCTGTCTCTCCCACGGCACTCTCAGCTTCTCTATGAGTTTGATCATTAACACAGCCACATAGCCTCACAAATAGTTCTCCAGATTATGGGGTTTATAGGGAAGTAACAGGCTGTCCTTGGAGAGGGACATCATGCTTGGGAGGGTGGAGGGACAGCGCAGGAGAGGAAGGCCCTCTATGAGGTGGATTGATTCAGTGACTGAGATAATTGGAATGGGAGTGTCAGAGACAGTGCGATTGGCACAGGACAGAGCGGAGTTTAGGGCTGTTGTACATAGGGTCGCTATGAGTCACAGGCGACTCGACGGCACATAACAACAACAACAACAACAGGCTGCAGTTCAGAATCAGAAATGATGCAAGAGGCAGGTCCTCAATCAGGAAGGCTTCTTCTTAGCCATGCTTCCAGGCAGGCCTCCTCTGGCCCCCAGCCTGGCCACTGGTCTCCATGGATGAGGGTACCAAAGCACCCTGCTCAGCCAGCAAGCCTGCTGCCCAGAGATGCTCAGCTTTCTCACTCCCTGGGCCAGGCAGGCCACTGCACCATCGCCTGCTCGCCTCCTACTTCTAAGGGCTCTGCTGCTGCCATTTCTTGGCTACTGTTTCTTGCTGTCTGTCCTTGTCTCTTGTATTCCAGTTCTTTGTTTCCTGGGTCTAGGAGGTGCCCAGAGGAGAAACCTTGAGCCTAAAGGACACACTTTACTCCTACGTCTTCTTCTTGGTGGTGATTCAGTCTTCTCTGTGGTCTAGTATTTGCTTCCTTTTAAGTTTTGTTGTCATGTACTGTCAAGTTGGAACTGAACCATAGCTGACCCTCCATCACAATTTCAGAAGCAGTTAATCACATGGGAGGAGACTGCCCATCCTTCTCCCACAGAGCAGCAGGTGGGTTCGAACTGCATGCCTTTGGGAATACAGCACAGCTTCTTCTGTATACTTTATTTGCATGGTTCTAACCTCCCCTACCCCAAGGCATGTGATACAAATGGTTTGGGATCGAGAATAAGGATGACAGAAGAAGAATTGATGCCTTTGGACTGTGGTGTCAGAGAAGAGTACTGAATGTCCCTGGATTACTATCCATGAACTGCCAAAAAAAAACACACAAACAAAAAAACAAATAAATGTGTCTTGGAGAAGGTGCATCCGGAGTGCTCCTTGGAAACAAAGATGATAAAACTTCACCTCACCTACTTTGGGCATGTTGCTAGGAGAAGCTATTCCTTGGAGGGGGACATCATGCTTGGGAAGGTGGAAGGACAGCAAAAGAAAGACCTTCAACCAAGTTGGTTGGCACAGTGACTACAGCAATGGGCTCAAGTGTGTCAGCAATTGTGAGGATGGCCCAAGATAGGACAGCGTTCAGAGTGATTTCTCCAAGTTGTACCTGACTTGATGCCACCGAACAATAACAACTCCCCCACAAGGGTGCCTTGCACCTTGTATATATTATTATCAAGCTATCCAATCTGTTTAGCTCACTCTAGACACCCCATTTGCAGGTCCCACCTGGTCATTTGGTGGGAGTTACAAACACTATTATGGCTCGTTAAGTGCCATTGAGTCAACTCTGACTCATCACAACCCCATATACAATAGAACAAAACCTGTGCCCTCCTGCACCATCCTCCCAATCTCTGCTGGACTTAATTAAACCCACTGTGGCAGCCACTGCATTTATCTAGCTCATTGAGCTAAGAGCCATGTTAAGTAATTCCCCACATCACATACTATTTGTATACCTATTACTCTGCCATGTACCAGGTTTACACAGATAAATTTCTTGAGAACAGGGATTTAGATTCACAATTCTGAGTGACTGGTACATGATAGATGCTGACAAATGTTTGTTGAATATGGTTGTATTTGGATGGATGGATGGATGGATGGATGGATGGATGGATGGATGGATGGACAAATGGATCAGTGGTTGGACAAGTGAATGGGATGGTGAATAAATTAATAGAAAGGTGAATCATGAGCAGACAAGTGGGAGGATAGGTGAGGGGAGTGGATGCCTGTGAAGAAGGTGTTCTTTAGTAGAGAACTGATATCAGGCTCATTTAATGAGGTGATTGCCCTGTTAGGATGCTTGGAACAGGTGTATAAGCCACAGAAGGGCACTCACTCCAGCCTAGAGCATCTGGGGAGGACCTCCCAAAGCAACGTCACCTGCATGGACTTTCAGATGAGGGTTGGAGATTTTCCTCCAAAGAGAGAGTCAGGTGAGCATTCAGGCTGAAGGAAGCACAGGAGGCAGTGTTGGTGTGAGGAGGAGAAACAGGCAGAGAGCTGTACTTCCTGGAATAGGGGGCAGTAAGTAGTGTCAGCCTGTTTTTGTTGTTGTTGGTTGCTGTCAAGTCGAGCACGACTCATGGCAACGCTATGAACAAATGGCCTGAAGCCTTTCTATAACTAATGTTGTTTATCAAAGTTCATAGAGTTTCCGGAGGCGTGTTGTTTAGGAAGTGGAAGCCACTCCTGCTTCCAGACCTGTCTTATACTAGGAGCTCCACCAAACACTATCCACCATGGGTAATCATCATGGCATTTGACACTCCAGTGTCACAAAGTCCAGCATCACAGCAACCCTAGGTTACCTCAGTACAGCATATTGATGGAAGAGACTGTACCACTTAGAAGAATGTTCCCACAAAATGCAAATATAAATATAAATACAAAGGTCCTCCCTGAGGTCTTGTTGCCTCTAAACAAGAGCTTAAATTAAAAACAACCAATATAGTATGTTGTTGTTGCTATGTGCCATTGAGTTGCCTATGACCTATAGGAACCCTATATACAGCAGCTCTGAACCCTTCCCTGTCTGAGCCAGTCTCACTAATTCTGACACACCTACTCCTGTTGCCCCAGATAACTCTTGTTGCATCAGTCCATCTCATCTGAAGTCTTCCTCTCCTGCCTGTCCCTTCACCCTTCCAAGCATGCATCAATCTGAGAAACCATGATTATGACACCAGCTGGTGACCTAACAAAAAAAAAAAAGCCACCTCCAGGCCTGCCATGGTATCTCATCTGTTACCTGGCACAGAATCCTGGACTCAAATCACTGTATCACCTTGGCCAAGTCTCTTCACCTCTCTGAGCCTTGCTTTCCTTATCAGCAAATGAGAGCTGGTAGGACCATATTGAGGAATAGGTACAATGCAGGTGTCCACCAGTGTGCACACTTTAACTGTCTATAGCTCAGGGGGCATGTTTTTTTGGATGATGGGAGGTGGTGTGCTATTTGCTGACACGTGGAAGTTGTCTCACAGGAGAATGCTACTCCTCTCCCTGTTGCCTGCCCTTGTAGGGTCTCAAGAGAGCTCTGTAGAACCCACAGGATCCCCTTCTGAAAGGTTCTCTCACACTTAGTTATGTGGGCCCAGCACTCAGACAGCTTCAGAAGCTCTGAGTATCCTTGTGTCTGCAGCATGGTCACAGAGGGGTGACCTGTCTACTTTGCAATTGACCCTGTATCCACCCATTCCCATTGTTGGTAAGTGTGGACTTGGGTCCCAGGCACTGGACAGTGATTTCTGAGTAGAATCCAGATTATTCCTTTTCTTTAACTCCTGTCTAAGATAGAGTAAATCTCATAACTGGAATCAGACAAATTAACTACCATATTTCATAACCATCTATAAGGAGGCACTAACCTCCATCTATGTTTTGCAACCATAGTCAGGTTTACTGATAACAACAACAACATAGTTTGGAAGCGGGAGTGGCATCCACTTCCTAAACAAATGCCTCTGGAAACTCTATGAACTTTGAGAAATGATGATAATTATAGAAAGGCTTCATGTCTTTTGTTCATAGGGTCACTATGAGTTGTGCTCAACTTGACAGCAATCAGCAACAACACAACAACAATAACATACCTGCCTGGTTGGTGCAATGATTCCCATTTTACAGATGAGGAAACTGAGCCTCAGAGAACTAAGTGAACTGACCAAGTCCACACAAGTACTGGTGGTACTGGTTGCCACTGAGGTAGTTGATTGCAACTCATGGTAACTCCAAGTGTGTCACAGTAGAAATGTGCTCTATAGGATTTCCAACAGCTGATTACTAAGAAGGATATCACCAGACATTTCTTCTGGTGGACTTAAACCTGCACACAGTTTCTGGTAAATAATAGAGCCAGCCCTTGACCCCAGATCTCTCTGACCCTAGTTCCTGTGCTCTGCACTGGGTTCACTTCAACTGTCCTCTTTGTAATGGCTAGTTTTTCTGGCATAGGGCTGTGTGTGTGCTTTTGCATGCATGAACGTGTGTGCATACATACAAATGTGCATTGTTA